AGATATTTTTATATATTGATAAGATTCCCCCTGAGCCTTTTCTTCTGGTTGAAATGTCCCATATCTCTCAGCTTTTCTGTATGGGAAAGATGCTCCAGCATCTAAATTGTCCTTCAGTGGACTCTTTCTAGTAGCTCCATATCTGTCTTGTACTATGGTGCCCAGAACTAGACACAGGACTCCAGGTGTGACCTTGATAGGGCTGATGAGAGGAGGGATCACCTCCCTTGACCTGCTGGCAATACTTTGCCTAATGCACTCCAGGATACCATCTACTGACTTTGTCACAGTGGTACTTTGCTGGGTCATGGTCAGCCTGTTGTCTACCACCTGTCCTTATCTGCAAAGCTGCTTTGCAGCTAGGCAGTCCCCAGCATCTACTGGTGCATTGACCCCATCATACAAGATTGCATGGGGTCGTTGCTTCCTGGGTTCAGGACTTTTAATTTCCCTTTGTTAAATTTTATTAAATTCCTTCCAGCCCATTTCTCCAGCCTGTCCAGCTGCTGAACAGCAGCATGATCCTCCTAGTTTAATGTCATCAGCAAACTTGATGAGAGTGCTCTCTACTCCATCATACAGGTCATTAGTGAATTTTCTCACATTTCTGATGGCCATTGCTAAGTTCTTCCTTGAATTGAGATAAGTTGTGTAGCCAGTGGTGTAAAACTCAGGCTTCTAGAGCTTTCCTACTTCTGGCTTGTCTACAATAAGCCTGATAAAACTGCTGCCTGATGAGAAACGCCACTGAAATGAGGTTATTTTTCCTTTTGTTTTGTACACAATTTTTATAAACTGGCAATGCATGATTGTTCCAGCATTTCTATTCTATCCCTAACTGAAAGAGAAGATCCCAGTGTAATAAGTTTATAAGCATTTTTGTGTGGTAGTTTAAGAAGGGCTTCCTGCTCTGGCAGCTTGTGAACCTGTAGCGTGCACCTCCATGAGATTACTTTCTGTGCTTTTAGAAGCTGAAATATCAGAAATCTGAAATTGGTAGTCTAATGCAGTTACCATCGGGAAGCGTACAGAGTCTGTAAATGTACCAAGGAAAAGTGGCAGCTGGGAAGGGGGATCTTGGCAACAGGGTGAGAGGAATTGACAAATGAGGAGGTCAGAAGCAGCTTTTTAGATGATCATCACAGCTTTAATGCATGTTATAATACAGCCCTTTCCAAGAGCTTCCCTTAGACTGTCACTGACTTGGAGGACAAGGGGAGTTGTGAAGGGCACCAGATGGTGCCAACGGACAGTGCTGTATATAAAAGCTGCGTATGATGGTGGCATCATTCTGACCTTCTTGCTCATCCATTGGCTGGGATACCACAGCATTGAAACAAGAGGAGAATTGTTTTCTCGGGTTTTGGAGGGGTTTTGGTGTTTTGGTAATCAAAGACGAGTTGGTGTAGAGAAGAGTGTAGTAAGGACCGTTACTAGTTATTTTTTTCTGTATTTATTCTTTCTTTGTTCATCTAAGGAGAAAAAGATACTATTTCTGTAATTAACATGTAAATAGGTTGATTATGAAATTGTGAGTTTTGACAGTAATGACAAGGAAAATTCTTTCCTTTAAAGTGTAGACAGCAAGACTTCAAGGCTGTTTGTTTCAGTCTACTGACCTATGATGTCTGTGGAAGCGAGGATTATCCAGTTGTCTCTTTCGTGTTTTTTTTTGTCACCTTCCGATTCATGCATCATACAGAGATATTGGTTGCAACAATATGATTTTTAAGAGGGTATTTATTTATTAGCAATTTATGAGTGGACACCAAACAGATGATTCTATGAATCCAAGTAAGGCAAAAAAGGCAAATAAATTATGTATCTCATAATTAGACAAGTATGTAAGCTGGTACTGCTGCCAGAAACAACAACAAAATCTAGAAGGAAAACATGAGACAATCTTTCTTCTCTTGTATTCTGCTTTGTCCTGATGTATTCAAGAGCCCTTGTAAAATTACTATACCTAAGAAAGCATATTCTCCACACCCGAGGTGAGATGCATGTATTTATTTAATACTGAGGGCTTTCTAGTAAGGTATTCCAACTCTGTGAAGCGTTTACATTTTAATGAATATTAGTGAAAATTGACTAAAATAATTGAGAAACTGAGGATTAATATGGTCTTTAATCACTTCTGTATAACCTAAACAGAGAAATAAAAGTGGTAAAATAGTCATGACAATGATACCTGTAGCGTTAAGGGTAAAAATCATTGTAAATCAGTTTTGCACTGTCCAATATCTTTGGAACAAAGTATGTGCATTGAACTTCTATGTAATTTAGTATGACTTTAGTCTACCTTTCCTAAATTAGAAGGTAATCTTCAGTTTTAGACGAATGTGTGAGACTTTTGTTTCTTGCAGTGAGTTATTGCCCACCTGCATATATTGTTAAATGTTTTAAATATAGATGTGGAGCATTTAAAAATGTAAGGCTCAGATAAACATAGTATTAAAGCAGTTTTTTGATCTATTATTGTTCATAAAATCAGTATAAAATGCATTGGTGTTTTCCATTGTATTTTTTCCTTTGTTCCTTCTTGGTTTTAATTCTTGTCTTTGTAATTTGTTGATGACTAACTTTTGGTTCTGATAGTCACAGCTGTGCCTTATCAGGCACGTACATTTATTATCAGGCAATATATTTCTTCTAAATGCTGTGTGGTAAAAATCTTACCCCTTTGGTGTTGGTGGTTAGGTTGCTATACTGATCTTACTACTGTCATTTTTGTTTTATGCAGTAGCTCAAAACATGTTTTCTCAGTAGTTATGTATCCTTGCTATTTATACATAATTTCTCTGTGTGTTTCAAGTTAAATAATTTCTAACTGCTCTCTTTAAGTGGATAGCTCAACATTATAGAATTTTAATTATTTTTGTTTCGAAGGCTGACTACTGCAGATACCTCTTTTAGTTCTCCCTGTTCTTTGGAAACACTTCCCACCTAGTATATTTAATTTATAATATTTGTGCATGTCTCAAATCACTGAATGTTTTTCTTTCTTTTTTCTTTTAAAATAAGATGAGGCTTTTGGAAGAGTGCATTACAATTTTTTAATTTAAATTTAAATGCTTAGAAAATAACATTGGAACAGAGAACTCAGTCTTCTGCCATTCATGAAAGGGATAAATTAAAACATCTTCAGCTATTTTCCTTAGAAGATGAAATTAAAGATGTGTAAGTGGCAGTAAACCTTTTCTGTCTTCTATAACATTGCTAATTAATTAGGTTTCAATTTTTCATCTGGAGGAACTAAAGCTAATCTTTTTGTCCTAGACCTTGTAACGTTTCAAAACCTTATCAACTGATTAGACTCCAGAGGGGTTAAAATAGTACTAGCTTGCCTCATTATCTGCACTTGAAAATCTTCAGCTTGCTGTGCAAATCTATATTAAAGCCCCTTTAATGGGTTCAATTGAAAGAAACATAATTCTACCTTGAAGCATTAATTGACAGCAATAAATTTTTCTTAACTTTTGTACCTTCACCTGATTGTATTTTTCTTTGTAATAAAAGGCTGTTATTAAATTAAGACAAATGTAGTATTGCCATTCAAAAACTTGAATTCCAGTGGCATGTAACCCTGATTATTCTTGTGTAATGAGGGACAGACAAGAGGATAATTTTGGTTATAGGGAGCTTGAATGAATGTGTCAGCACCAATGAGATTACATGAAGTTTATAAAGTCTACAAATA